TACAGACTTTTCCTCTTCGACTTCATAGCCTCCTTGACCAGCAGACCCAGCTCACTCTACACCTGCTCGCACCCATTACAAGAGTCCCTGGCTACTCTTTTCATAATCCTCCATCATTCATCCTCCATCCCTTCCGGTTTCTGCTCAAGCTCCTTCTTAACTGTCTGGTTCTTTGAACTATATCACTGCTCTAGTCAACTTCCACTTTCTGTTAATGATCTGGACTATACAATCCAACAAATACAATGGAAGATAAGTGAAACCACAAATAGATCTTTTTTTTTCCTAATAGCCACATCTTAATATGTAAAAAGAGGGACCAGAAAAATAGAACAGTGGTAAAGGTGCTTGTCTGCACACAGACCGAGCCCTGTTCAATCCAGTACTGTATATTGCCCCAGAGCACTGCCAAGACTGATCCCTAAGCACCACAGGGTATATACCCCCAATAAAAATAAAATGTAAAAAAACCTAGTGACTCTTTTTTTTTCTTTTTGGGTCACACCCGGCAATACACAGAGGTTACTCCTGGCTCTGCACTCTGAAATTACTCCTGGTGGTGCTCAGGGATGCTCAGGTGGTGCTCAGGTGGTGCTCAGGGATGCTGGAAATTGAACCCTGCAAATGCCCTACCCACTGTGCTATCGCTCCAGCCCCTCGTGACTCTATTTTTTTTTTTTTGTAGACTTACACATTTTTGTGCTTGGGTTTCAATTATACAATGATCAAACACCCATCCCTCCACCAGTGCACATTTCCCACCACCACGGATCCCAGTATCCCGTCCCCCCCCCCCCAGCCCCCATCCCACCCTGCCTCTGTGGCAGGGCATTTCCCTCTCTCTCCTTTTGAGTGCTGTGGTCTGCAAAAGAGGCATTGAGTGGCAATCATGTTTGGTCCATAGTTTACCCTCAGCATGCTCTCCCATCGTGGGCGGATCCTCCCAACACCCTTTATTTGGTGTTCCCTTCTCTTTCTGAGCTCCCTTTTCCCCTAACATGTGTGGTTGTCCTCCGGGTCACTGAGTAAAATTCCTGGTACTAATCTCTGCAATACTTGGGTGTTAGTTTCCTATTTTGTTACTTTATGTTCCCCAGATGAATGCAATCTTTCTATGTCTATCCCTTTCTTTCTGAGTCATTTCGCTTAACATGATACTTTCCATGTAGTACCACTTGTATGTAAATTTCATGACGTCGTCTTTTCTAACAGCTACATAGTACTCCATTGTGTAAATGTACCAAAGTTTCTTTAACCAGTCATCTGTTCTCGGGCACTCAGGTTTTTTCCAGATTCTGGCTATTGTAAAGAGTGCTGCAATAAACAGACAATTGCAGATGTCGTGACTCTATTTTTAATGATACCTTGATACCCAACATAGTGAAAATGTTACTCAATATATAATCCCTATAAAATTTTAGCCATAGCCATATCTTAAGGATCCAGAGAGATAGAATAGGGTTAAAGTGCTTGCCTTGCATGTTGCCAACCCTGTTTCCACCCTAGCACTGCTTATGGTCCCCTCAGCACGACCAGGAGTGATCCCTGAGAACCTCCAGGTGTGCTGCCCCAAACCAAAACATTAATGATAAAGTATTAAAAGTGATTAGAATAATTTAAATTCTTATTTATGTGAATTTCTTGAAATTGTGCATATTTCACTCTCACAGCTTTTCTTGAAATTGTGCCTATTTTACTCTCACAACTCATCTCAATTTGTACTGCTCCATTTTAAGAGTTCCAAGATCTTATGTGGCCAGAAGGCACAGGCTACAGCACTGGAGCAAACACGAGGCTCTCACTCTACTGAAAATGGTCCCAGTTTTCAGAATGATTATTGCAGGTAGTGACTGTGTGTGTGAGATTTTTTTGTGAAGCTGGGGGTCAAAGCCAGGGTCTCACATGCAGGGCATACGTTCTCCTCTACCTTGGTAGATCTACATCCCCAGGCCTGAGTGATTTTTAAGAAATAACTTTGGCTTACTTTTTGTTATTCCCTAACAGTCACATTGCATATGTTGATGTATTTTTAATGTGTGATTTTAAATATCTTGGAGTATCAGGGAAATTTAAATGAGTGAAGTTTTACATTCAGGCTCTAATGAAACTTTTTTTTTCTTTCATGGCACACATGGCTTAGTACCTGGTTTTATTTCCATACATTTAGCCGTAGATAGCCATATATAACTTTATCATCGCAAATTATTCTCTCAGTTCTCTGCAATTTGCTCCCCTTCTTCTACAGATCGCTGGGCTGAAAATACAGAATTTCCATTTGAAAACTCTCCAAATTCCTTATCAACTCTGCACAAACACTACCCCAGGCACAATTTCTCCAGCTTTCATTGATCTGTGGTCACTGTCCCAGGACACCGAGACTTCAAGATCAAATTCTAGAAAAAGCCTCTGTCTCCCATGCTACCTCAATTTTATTTAAAAATAGACTTGCTATTTACTTTCACCTAAAATTAGATACACTCAAAGGCCAACTTTGGTTTCTGAAAAAGAAGTTAACAAATGGTCCTCCAATCACAGGATCAACCAATTTTTTCCAACAAAACAGGTCCCTCAAAAATTAGGGGTAGGAGGCTGGAACCATAGCACAGCGGGTAGAGTGTTTACCTTGTACCTGGCTGACCCAGGTTTGATCCCAGCATCCCATATGGTCCCCCGAGCACCACCAGGGGTAATTCCTGAGTGCATGAGCCAGGGGTAACCCCTGTGCATTGCAGAGTGTGACCCAAAAAGCCAAAATGAATAAAAAAAATTAGGGATAAACGCATAACTCTGGTGCTTAGACTCAGAAACAGTCTGTGAAATGTACACAGGGCATGGGCACAGCAGAACGTAAATGGCCTTGCATTAGGAAACTAAAGTGGAGTTGCATTCTTCCAGGAACCTAGAGACTATTAAAATTCTTACTGTAGTCTGTGGGGCTGGAGCGATAGCACAGCAGTTAGGGCGTTTGCCTTGCATGCAGTTGACCCGAGTTCGATTCCTCTGTCCCTCTTGGAGAGACCAGCAAGCTACCGAGAGTATTCCACTCACACAGCAGAGCCTGGCAAGCTCCCCATGCCGTATTCAATATGCCAAACACAGTAATAAGAAGTCTCACAGTGGAGACATTACTGGTGCCCGCTTGAGCAAATCGATGAACAGTGGGAGGACAGTGCTACTATAGTCTGTGGAACTGAGAAGTTAGGAGAGTAGATTTCAGTTCCTGGTGACGGTGGCCATCTAACTATAGGAATTGAAGCCTGGTATTTACCTGCAGGATTCAGCTCTCAGACTGTAATGGGGTTGCAAGAGCGAGCTGCAAGCCTCCTGCAGCTCTGCCAGTCCTGACCTTTGCACTGTCTTTCTCTGTTCCATTATCCCCCAGAGCACTGCCTCTCCTCCTTCCTAAATTTAAAGATGACTGGCAGCACAGAAGACAAACAGAAAGGAAAGTTGATGGGAAAAAAATGAGTCACCTTTCAGGAATTTGCTTCTCAGTGTCTCAATACTTGCCTATGATGCTGAATCAATTCTTTCAATACAACTTGCTTTAAGAGCCTGGTGTTTGTTATATGTACTGATCTTATGTTTATACCAAATACTCACTTCTTTTCAGAACCACTTGTAGGGACAAAACATCAAATGTGAGCAGTCATATACCTCAACTCCACTGGAGAAAATCAGATCAAAATTACATAGTTTTAATAAGGTCTTTGCACCAGCTCTTGATAAGTTAGAGATGATAATTACAGCTCTTTACTCTTCCCACTCAACCCCCAGAACCTTAGAACACCCTAAAATCTAGTCTGTTGCAAGAACCATTCCCTACCTATGGACTTAAGTCAGGAGAGTCTGATATTAGCTGAGGTTTGTGTGGCTTCAGACTGGCCTGATTTTTTTTCATGCTGCCATTTTGAATTAACATAGATTTTCCTCTGCAACTCAGGCATTTTCTGATCAGGCTAGTGAGCACACACACACACACACACACACACACACACACACACACACACACACACACCATCATTAACACCAGTACAAAAGTATGCTTCAAGACATTTGCAAGCTAAAATTAAACAGTGAATCCAGAAAGGCCATATTATTTTTACAGAACCCTGCAAGTCATGTTTGAGTCACAGCAAATGACAGGTCTCTTACATGCACGTAAGTTGAATGAACGCATCCCTCCCTAAACCCGAGTTCTTCCTCAGTTGTCTGAAGTTCGTGCTCTCCTCCTCCCTCTAGCTTTTTTTTTTTTTTTTTCAGACTGCATTCATTTGGGTCTCCACCCTCCCGGCCCTGCAGCCCAATAATCCGCGCCCTAACAGACAAGAGAGCCCAGGAAGCAAAAGCAAAACATGAGCCGGACAATCATCCCAGAAACCCGGGAGTGGCGCCGGGATGACACCGGGTTAACCATCTGGGCACCGCTCCGTCCTCGGAACCGCCCAGGATGCGATGTGTGGGGAACTTGCGTTAGGTCCTGCACCAGCCCATCAAATCACACTATTCTGCGATTGCATCCAAAGAACCTGGCCCTAGGCAGTGCGGCCCCGCCAAGCGGGCGCGATCGGGTGCGTCGCCCCCGGGAAAGGTGCAAGGGGGCAGCCGCGGGGGTGGGGACGGAGGTGGGGGCCGGGGCCCACAGGCGTACACCCCCACGGGGCAGTAACTCGGCTGAGAGAAGCCAGCCGGATAAAGCAGCACGGGGGATTCTGCGAGCTCCGGAGACCGAGAGGGATTCGGGCAGTGCGGCGCGGGGCCAACCCGCCTGCAGTGCGCGCGCCCCCGGGTGGGGCGACCCTCCCCTGCAGTCCTCGGTGCAAGAGCCTGAGTCCCCCGCACGCCGGGCCAGCTCCCCAGACCCCTTAGAGGTCCCGCCGCGCCCCGAGCAGCTCCCGCGGGGACCCGGCCCGGGTTCGCTGGGACTGCAGGAGGCCACCGAGCCCGGAGGGCGGCGGGGGGACGCGGCTGCAGGGGTGCCCCGGCGCCCTGCCACTCACCTGCGCTGCAGGGGCTGCGGCTGCAGACCAAGGCGCGGGCGCGATCACTGCAGAGACATCGGGGGCGCAGTGCGGGGCGGCGGCGGCCGTCGGGCGCTCCCCTGCGTGCCCAGACTCCCGCCCCCCGCCGGCAGCCGGCCTGGTTCACGTGACCGCGGGGCCCACCCGCGTCCACCCGCACCCGGGCCCCCGGGCCGCAGCGCCGCCCTCGGCCGGGCCGGGGAGGGCAGGGAGCGCCGCAGAGAGTGGTTCCCGGCGCCCTCGACGCGCCGAGCCGGGCGGTGGGGACTCGGGCCCCGGGTGCTCCCAGCGCCTCGCCGCGCGCAGCCGTGCCGTTGCTACGGGCGGGCCCCGGTAACCGTGCACGGTTTCCCCGCGGAGAAGCGGGTCTGGGACACTGTTGACTCACTCCTCCGAGTCGGCCCTGGGCTCTAAGCGAGGGATGCTGCAACCTGGTAAAGAGAAAAATAAGCCAAACCCGCGGCGTGTTGAGAAGTCAGACCTTATACCTGGGCTGGACGTAGACACTCAGAGAGGCTCAAGACTGGCTCAAGGTCACATCGCAAGGGGCGAAGCTATTTTTCCAGACGTGGGCTAAGGAATCGTGACTGTGCGTGCGTGTGTGGGGGGTGGGGAGGAGGGGTGTCGGCAGCCAGGTTATTGGTCTATTAACACAACACTGTACATTTTATAAATTATTAAGAAGAGATCTCAAAGGATCTGAAAAGACAGCAATACCATCGAGGTCCTTGAAAAGATACTCAGGCTCCGTGGTTGAAAATGAAATATACAAGGTAGATGTTTTCACCTGTTTGATAAGCCAAAAATCATTATCTCCTGGAAGAGCTGTCTCTCAAAGGAACCAGTATGTATAGACTTGGGTTAAGAATTCTACTTCTGAAATTCATCCTACAAAGATACGGATGTCGAGTGGCTGAAAAGACAATACAGTGGGTAGCACCCTTGCCTTGCATGAGGTCAACCAGGGTCGATCTCCAGCATCCTATATGGTCCCCAAGTCTTTTCTGATCTTCACCAGATGTAGCACAAAAACAAAACACATGCACATGGAGTTAACGACCCCGAACACAAAGCCATCCACTGCTGTTTTGGGTGACTGCAAACATTGGATGAGAATGTCCCTCAGAGAGAGGACTGTTCTAAAAACCACGGCTCACCAATACAACGGATTTCTTTCCTGCTGTTAACAAAAGAGGATGTTCTGCCTCTTTGTAAGGATAGGAAAGAGTCCCACTCTTTACCAAGCAGAGGAGGAAGTCACTTGCAGTGCATTGTGTGCTATCACTGTGGATAGGAAAAAGAAATGTCTGTAGTCATATTTGAAAGGCAAAGAATATCTTTGGAAGGCTACATAGTAACTGTAATGGTAGAAGTCACTGGGGAGTAGGGGGTGGGGGAGGGGGAGTGGAGGCAGGGGAGCAAGGAACTTTTTCCCATGTCTTGGGAATGTTAATGCCTAGGCTTGTGGTTTGCCTCCTCTGAGCTGAGCAAATGAATACTTCTGGGAGAGAGGGGAGGAATCAATACTGATCCTACAGAATAAATAGAGCAGTGGAACTCTTGGAGCACAAAGGAACCTTATTGTGCATTTAGTCTAACCAAGGAAACTGTAGCCCAATGAGTTTGAATAATCAATATTCAAAGTTCCTCGAGGGCTTGTTCCTGGGTCCTGTCCCAGATCTAATGAATTGAGAGTCTCTGGGGTTGGGCCAGGAATTTTGTCATGCTGTCCAGCTGATTCTCTTGCACATTAATGTCAGAGAGCCACAGGCTTAAATGCTTAGCATGAGGGCACTCAGTAAATCACCACTGAGTGAAAAGTAAATCTACCTCTGTGTTTTCATAAAGCCATACTAGGTCAACTGTTTATGTAAAGTAGCACCTGTCACTACACTGGACTTCTTTCTGGATGATGCCAGGGGGCACAGATAGGGGAGCCCACTCATCTAACTGCCCAGTCCAAAATCTCAAGACCTGCTCTTCTGTCCATATAAACCCCAGGACACTAGATTCAGGATCCCAAGTTACACGAAAGTTGATGGACACCTGCTTTCCTTGAGGAAGCACAAATTGGTTCCTGTTGGATTTCTATTTAGGAGGCAGACATGGTGGCTGTCCGGGTTCACAGAAATGAGAGAACAGAATAGTCAGTCTCACAAGTAGAAAACCATCAAGCTATATTGATTAAAAAGCAAAAAAACAAAACTTTGGGGGCTGGAGCAATAGCACAGTGGGTAGGACGTTTGCCTTGCATCCAGCCAACCCAGGTTCGATTCGAGCATCCCATATGGTCCTCCGAGCACCACCAGGAATAATTCCTGAGTGCAGAGCCAGGAGTAACCTTTGCCGGGTGTGACCCAAAAAAGCAAAAAAAAAAAAAAAAAAAAAAACCTTTTATCATTGCTGCCTACAACTTATGTGAGGTTTACATATGGGTAAATTAAGAGGTTTCTGTGAGCTTCATTCAAGGGGAAATTTGTGTTAAAATAACCCAAAATTATTACATAGTCCTATTTTGCTATTTCAAATTGTTCAAGATTTAAGAGCTAATACATAGCACACCAACACACCAGACTTCTGTTTCCTGTTAAGGAAGGCAAAAGTTTTTTGATATATCAAGACACACACACACCCCTAAATAATGTGTATTGGGGTGATTGTTATTTCAGTTTTTCTGTGAGTCTTTTCATGCAGATACTCATAAAATTCACCTCTAGTAATCTAGATAAGGGGGAAAAAATATGGAAACTTTTTTTTTTTGGCGGGGAGGGTTTTGGGCAACACCTGACAGTGCTCGGGGATTATTCCTGCTTTGTGCTGAGGGATTCCTGGCAGGGTCTGAGAAACCATTCGGGGCCCTGGGGATTGAACTGCATCAGAAGAAGGCGAGGAAAGTGCCCTGCCTACTGAGCTAGCTTCCTCACCCATCTCCCGTTGATATTTTGAGGTTATTCCCCACCCCTTTTCCTACACAAGCCAACTAATGCTCACAACTAATTACTCATGCTCATAAGATAACACTAGTAACTAATATTTATGAAAATATTTAATAGTAACACAAATGGGAGTTTATATGAAGAAATATAATTCTAACGTAGTACAGACCTGTTGGAACTGAATGCTTACAGGTTTTTTTTTACTCACTTAAATCACTTAACTTCCCGTTAGTCGTCAATTTACTCGAGCGGGCGCCAGTAACGTCTCCATTTGTCCCTGTCGCGTGCTAGTGTAGCCCAATGGCATCTGTTCACTCTGGGAACATGAAGAGCCTCAAACCGATCGTTCATGATCTTGACGAAGAAGTCTGACCATCTGGTAGGTGGGCGGCCACGCGGTATTTTGACATCTCGTGGAATCCAGTCAGTAACAGCTCTAGTCCAGCGGTCATCTTTAAATCTCATTACGTGACCAGCCCATCTGATTTTCGACACCTTGGCAAATGAGACAGCGTCCCTGATTCTTGATCGTCGATGGATGTCGGAACTCCGGATTCTTTCTCTCATTTGAGTGAAACATGATATTCCAAGCATAGCTCTTTCTATTCTTCTTTGGGAGACCTGAATAGCGTTCTCATCCTGTTTGCGTAGGGCCCAGGTCTCTGAGGCATATGTTAATGCAGGAAGAACAGTGGAATCAAAGAGATGTGCCCGGAGCCGGAGGTTCTTCGTCCTCTTAGCTATTTTTTCGACGTTCTTGAAGGCATTCCAAGCCGCTCTTTTCCTCCTGAGCAGCTCGGGTGCCAGGTCATTTGTCATGTTGACTTCTCGACCTAGGTACGCATAGCTGTTGCATTCGGAGATGGTCATTCCATTGAGAGCGAATGGGGCATCAGGAACAAGGCTGTTTCTCATAAACATTGTCTTCGTAAGATTCAGCTGTAGTCCTACCTTTCCACACTCACGGTCAAAGTCGGCCAGCATTTGTGCCGCTTGGCTGATGTTTGGTGTTATTAAAACAATGCCATCAGCAAAGCAGAGGTGGTGTAGTTGCCCACCATCTATCTTCACTCCCATTCCTTCCCATTCGATATGCCAAAACCAGTAACTACAACTGGTCTCATTCACCTGACCCTGAAGGCTTCACTGACATGGCAGCACTGAGAAGGATGAGAAAGGAGAGGCCGACAAAATCTCAAGGCCGAACTAGACTGCCACAACGACGGAAGACAAAAATGATCGTCTGTACTTTCAATGCACGTACGCTAGCATCAGATACATCCATCAAGGACCTGATGGTACAAGCACAAATGATCAAGTACGACATCATTGGTCTGACCGAGACAAGAAGGCACGAATCTCACCATGCCGTTTTCGACACTGGAGAAGAATTGTTCCTCGGAACATTCGATAAAAGAGGTGTCGGAGGCATCGGTGTCCTTGTCAACACAAACTTGGCCAAGAGCATTGATTCATTCGAATGCCTAACAACCCGAATCGGACGTTTACATTTGAATAGATGTGGCTCACTGCCAGCAGTTTCTATCTTCGTTGTCTATGCACCAACATCTCATTATGATGAAAAAGAAATCGAGAAGTTCTACATGGAGCTGGAGAAGTTCTATAAAGAAGACCACACCTTCTACAAGATCATTGTGGGTGATTTTAATGCCAAGATGGACCGAGAAGATCAGCTGAAGAACTTCACATCGGGACCCATGGCCTAGAATGGAACGAACAGGGTGAGAGACTGTCTGAGTTCATCATGTCGACCAAGACCATTCATGGTAACTCACAGTTCCAGAAGGCAGAATCTAAACGTTGGACATGGGAGTCTCCCGGTGGACGATTCCACAACGAAATAGACCACATCATATTCAATCGACGGTTTTGCCTGACTGATGTCGCTGTTGTCCCAAAATTTCGAACGGGATCGGACCACCGTCTCCTTCGTGCAAAATTCTACTTCACAGAGCGGGGAGAAAGGGCTGCAAAGTTCAAAAAGAGAACTCCCAGAACGACCACCAACTGGGAACTCTTCGGCACTATTGCGGCAACATGGGAAGATGCCATTGTTGACAACATTGACGAGGAATACGATCGACTGGTTCAGCACCTCCATGAATGTGCGAGGAACGCCAAGAGAGAGATAGCCACAAAAAAAACGCCTGTCTTCGAAAACTCTTGAGCTAATTCGCCAGCGTGGTTTGGCGCATGCCTCAGGCAACCGCAAGCTAACGTCCGAGCTCGCAAAGCAGTGCAGAGATGCGATCAAGGAAGACCTCAAAGAGAGAAGAGCAGAAGTACTGGTAGATGTGGCAGAA